CTCTCCAGGGTCTCAGGCAGAATTCCTTCACATCACTCACTGCCTGGTCCTTTTAATTGGAGATGCCGGGGGGTTGAACTTGGGACCTTCTGCATGCCAAGCAGATGCTCTGCCACTGAGCCATGGCCCCCTCCGTGAGTAGTTTAAGCATTGGCACCTGTTCAAGTATGACATTTTATGAGAGCCCGTTTGGTGTATTGGTTAGGAGCGCGGACTCTAATCTGGAGAACCGGGCTTGATTCCCCATGGCTCCACATGCAGCTGCTGGTGTGACCTTGGGTCAGTCACAAGTTCTCTCAGAGCTGTTCTCTCACGGGCAGTTCTCTGGAAAGAGCTCTCTCTGCCCCACCTCCCTCACGAGGGTGTCAGTCATGGGGAGGGGAAGGGAAGGAGATTGTAAACCGCTCTGAGTGAAGGGCGGGGTATAAATCCGATCTACCCCCCTCTGCTGTCGTTAGACCCTTGCTGTCGTTGTCAGTATTGTCTGCTCTGACTGGTGGCACCTGTCCTGGGCAGCAGCTATGTGATGCCCTTCTCTTTCTGTCCCTCCACCACCACTTCCCACTTTGTGGTGATATTTCCTAAACTTGGTTTGGTACGATCTTTTGGGGGAGCTCTCAGATCTGGATGGCCAGGTGTGCATATATTCAGGCCCTGACATTTTCCTTATTTTGACTCCTGTGGCTGCTGGCATCCCCGCTCCCAGCCCAGGGCAGTTTTTTTAAAGGCCTTTAAAAAGACATTGGTACCTATTTCCGTGTGTGGTGGGAAAGGCTTAAAGGATTACTGGGGAAAGATCTGAGACTCCTTTGGGCAGTGAAGGGCAAGGTATGAATCCAATCCAAAGATGGACGACCATCTTTCCGGTATGTTATAGGCCCAGGGCTATTTTTGGGCAGGAACGCACAGGAACGGAGTTCTGGCTGGCTTCAGAGTTGGCCACACCCACTACAGCCAAAACTTCTGCATGCATGGCTACAAAGGGAAGGCTTGGAGAGTGACCCCCCCCCGCGACTCGAAGGCAGGCAGGCGGGGGGGCTGGAAGGATTGGGGAGGCATTTAAATGCCTCCTCGTGCCTTCCCTGGCTTGTCCAAGGGATGGCTTGCTCGAGCTACCTGCAGCCGTGGGGCGCCCAGGCAAGCCAAAGGAAGGCAGTTTGAACTGCCTTCTCTTCCCTTCAAGGGGGGGGGGGCTTGCCTGGGTTCCCCGCAGCTGCGGGGCGCCTGGGCAAACCAAGGGAAGGCATGGGGGTGTGGCCTAATATGCCAAATGAGCTGCACTGTCAGGGGTGTGGACTAATATGCTAATGAGTTTCTCCTGTTGGGTGTGGCCTATTATGCTAATGAGTTCCTGCTGGGCTTTTTCTACAAAAAAGCCCTGTTAAGATACAAAATTGAAATGCTTCCCCCAAATCTAGGATTGCCAGCTCCAGGTTGGGAAATGCCTGGAGCTTTGGGGGATGGAGCCAGAGTAGGGCAGGGTTTGGGGGGGGGGATGTTAATGGGAAATAGTGCCATAGAGTCCACCTTCCAAAGCAGCCGTTTCCCCCAGGTGAATTAATTTCTCTCGCCTGGAGATCCGTTGTAATCAGTGCTCCCTCTAAGCTGTGGAGTCTTGTGAGCAAAAATTCTACTTTGTGAGCTACTGGCATTACAAGTTGTGAGCAAGCAGTTTGCCTGCTGCATAAGTTAGTTTGCTCTGGAGCCATCCCTCCTGAGCGAAGACAAAAATGTGTGAGCCGGAGGCTAAAAAACTGCGAGCTAGCTCACACTAACTCAGCTTAGAGGGAACACTAATAGCGGGAGACCTCCAGCCGCCACCTGGAGGTTGAAGCCAAAGGTGAGAGACCACAGGAGGAGATGGTTTTATCTGAGCGTGTAGCAACCACAATTCTTATCAATTTCCACTTATCAGCTTTTGAAATAAACATCCCCTGTTGACTCTCTCATATCAGAAACCAATGTTTCTTGATGTCGAAACAAGATCTTTCTTCAAGAGGAAAGTTCAGAAACTTTTTAGTGGTGGTCTCTCTTTCTTGACTTTTGGAATAGGAATTTTCCACTGGGATCCATCAGGAAAGAACTATCGGGCTGGATAGAAGGCCTCGTCGTAGACAATTTGCGTATTATATTTTTAGGGAATCTGTAATATTTTTCTAAAATCATTTCTGGCCAGACTTTGTATGATGCTCTGATTGTATCTCTTTTCTATGCTAATAGAGGCTAACAAAATATGTGGCAGGGTATGGTCGTTCATGAGTCACTGCTCATTTCTTCAGATACACGGAAGCTCATCCCCTGCCACGAATGTTTGCTTCTGCCACGAATTTTTGTTAGTCTTGAAGGTGCTCCTGGACTCTTGCTCTTTTCTACTGCTACAGACAGACTAACACAGCTACCCATCTTGATAAATAAATGAGTAATCAGTAATAGCTATATCTTCATAGTGTTATGACAATGTACTCACAAATGTACAAGTTACCAGCTTTCATTCAAAAACACCACCACTGTAGCCCTTTTTGTTGTGGAGTTACAGGGGGGAAGGGACACATGGATCTCCTTACAACGCCACAACCAAAAGAGCTAGAGAATTATGTTTTTAAAAAATGAAATCTAGGAACTAGAACATTGTTGTAACACTATAGCAAGATCGCTATTACTGATTTTAAAAAAAGAATCCTGGAAAAGATATTGGTAGGCCTTGGCCACACGGGCAGGAAAATGTGGGGGGGGGGAGGCGTGGCTGTTTGCCCCGGAACAAACTAACGCTCGACTGCGCGATCAGGCGTCGGGTTGAGGTTTTGTCGAGCTCCCGTGGTTAGGGGGGAGGTGCCGATCACACGACGTGGCAAAGAAGCGGAGCGGCACGGCAAACGGGGTTGTGTTTTTTTAAAAAAACTGAAATGTGCGCATGCTCCGTTGGGTGCTTGTGTGCATCCGTGGAGACTTGGGGGGAAAAACCTTTTTGCGAGGGGACATGGGCGTGCACTGGAACTACCACCGGAAACGCGATCAGACGCCTGCCCTTGCCCCGCGGTTTCCGGAAACTAGTACCTCCGAGGTACTAGTTTTTTACCCCGCATCTTCGGCGGGAAGCCTCGGGTGCACCAAGGGAGCTCTACACTTCCCAGATGTGGCGGGGAGACAGCTCCCGGAAAATCCGCCTATCTTCCGTCTCTCTAGCGTGCCTAATGCTCCGTGTGACCAGGGCCATTATAAAACAAGTTCAACATGGTCCAAGTTTAAGGAATAACTGTATTATTATTGTAATGGCTGGCACCATTGTGTTAACATTGTGTGAAGGCCAGTTGGTTGAAACGCATTTGGTCAGGGTCAAAAATGGTCTTATGTTTGAAATAATTGTATGATTTTTATTGTTCTTATTTGAGGCTACTATTTGGGCCTACATTTGCTTTTTTCTAATTTGTAATAAATACATGTATTTTTTAAATATCCGGTTTATATTTATGTTATAAGTTTAGATATAGAACTATTGGGCCCTCACATTCCAGCAACCAGGGTTAACCCTATATTTGTTTAAATACTGCAACCCTTTTGTCATATCTCTAATAAAAATATAAGAAACTGTGAAGAGGTTAGGATTAGGTTTTGCAGTAGCAGTAATTTAAAAATTACTTAATAATTTAAAAAATGGAGCTGTGGTGGCTCAAGTGGTTAAGACGCTGAACTGCAGACTGTGGAAGGTCAGTAGTTCAGCAGTTCAAGACCCGGGTTGCCGCATGACGGAGTGAGCTCCCGTCTCTAGTTCCAGCTCCTGCTAACCTAGCGGTTCGAAAGCAAGAAATTGCAAGTAGATAAATAGGTACCCCTTCGGTGGGAAGGTAACAGCGTTCCGTGTGCCTTGGTGTTTAGTCATGCCGGCCACATGACCACGGAAACGTCTTCGGACAGCGCTGGCTCTTCGGCTTTGAAACGGAGATGAGCACCGCAACCCTAGAGTCGGACTCGACTGGCTTTCGAGCGAGGGAACCTTTACCTTTACCTTTAATTTTAAAATATGGTAATTAAAACACAAAACCCAATGGCTGAAAAATGAGCCTGGCTCCTAAATTTTTGGACTGGCCCCTAAACCCAAAGAAAATGTGTCAAGGGCTGCTATGAAGGAGATGAATGTTCATTTATGTGGAAAGGTTAATTTCTTGTGCTTAGCAGAAATGACAAGGAAATGCAGTTTCCAGCTTTGGGCAAACATAAGAATATAAGAGGAGCCATGTTGGATCAGGCCAGTGGCATATCAATCCAACACTCTCTTTCACACAGTGGCCAAAACCCAGGGGCCATCAGGAGGTCCACCAGTGGGGACAGGACTCCAGAAGCCCTCCCACTGTGCCTCCCAAGCACCATGAATACAGAGCTTCCTGCCCCAGATATAAGAACATAAGAGAAGCCATGTTGGATCAGGCCAACGGCCCATCCAGTCCAAAACTCTGTGTCACTCAGTGGCCAAAACCCAGGTGCCATCAGGCAGTCCACCAGCAGGGCCAGACTCCAGAAGCCCCCCCACTCTTGCCCCCCCCCCAATAGAGTAGTTTCCATGTCACTCTTTCGAACTGCCCAAAGGATACTTTTCCAAGATACAATGAGCATACTGGAGCCAGGTATCTCTCCAGAGTAGGGCCTATTCTTAACTTTCTGCTGGGTCTGTGCTTTTAAGAGTGTGTCTTTTTCTCCGCAGGAAACTTGCGTTAAAATACCACCCCGACAAAAATCCAGATAACCCAGAGGCTTCCGAGAAGTTTAAAGAGATCAACAACGCGCATGCGATATTGACGGATTCTACGAAACGAAATATCTACGACAAGTCCCCACTCTTGCCCCCCCCCAATAGAGTAGTTTCCATGTCACTCTTTCGAACTGCCCAAAGGATACTTTTCCAAGATACAATGAGCATACTGGAGCCAGGTATCTCTCCAGAGTAGGGCCTATTCTTAACTTTCTGCTGGGTCTGTGCTTTTAAGAGTGTGTCTTTTTCTCCGCAGGAAACTTGCGTTAAAATACCACCCCGACAAAAATCCAGATAACCCAGAGGCTTCCGAGAAGTTTAAAGAGATCAACAACGCGCATGCGATATTGACGGATTCTACGAAACGAAATATCTACGACAAGTACGGTTCCCTGGGTCTGTACGTAGCAGAGCAGTTTGGAGAGGAGAACGTGAACACGTACTTCGTGCTATCCAGCTGGTGGGCAAAGGTAAACGGAACGAAGGGCAGAAGGGTTCTGTCCCAAATATTTATTTATTTATTTGCATTTTTACCCCGCCCTCCCCACGAACGGGCTCAGGGCGGCTTACACAGGGGCATAAGCCCATACATAAAACAATATAAAACAGTCAAACCATTAAATCGCAGCAAACAGATAAAGTGCTCCATGCAGACAAGATGGTCTCCGAGGATGGTAGCAATCATTTCATTAGGGTGAAATTGTCCTGTCGATGGTCCAAGCCAGTCCAGCTGCATCAGTGCCATGCGAATTAATGGCCGTTCTTCCGGGGACCACTCCCAACCCCGTTGTTTCAATGGTGGTAGTAGTAGAAGTGGTAGAAGTGGCGGCCCCTATATAAAAGCCTGGCGGAAGAGCTCCATCTTGCAGCCCCTGCGGAACTGCATAAGGTCCCGCAGGGCCCTGATCTCCTCCGGGAGCTCGTTCCACCAGGTAGGGGCCGCCACTGAGAAGGATCTGGCCCTGGTCGCAGCAAGCTTTACCTCCCGGGGGCCTGGAATCACCAGGCGATGTTGCGTCCCCAACCGAAGTGCTCTTGGGGGTATGTATGGGGAAAGGCGGTCCCTCTTCTTTGCTCACGACTGAGGTGTTGCTGTTTATGGTGATTTTTTTTGTCATTCTGTTCATTTTTTACATTGGTCCAGATGTAAAACTGGCAGCTGCTCATTCACGCACGGTCCGTGTCGTGGCTCCTGCATTGTGGAAAAGCCTGCCCGAGGAAGGCACCCGTGCTTCTAACGTTTTGCAGAATGAGTAAAACAGCCCAGGAGGATGTGCTTGTAGAGCAGGGGTCCCCAACGTGGAGAAGAAGAGTTGGTTTTTATACCCCACTTCTCACTGCCCGAAGGCTACAATCTCCTTTCCCTTCCTCTCCCCACAACAGACACCCTGTGAGGTCGGTGGGGCTGAGAGAGCTCTGAGAGAACAGCTCTGAGAGAACTTGTGACTGGCCCAAGGTCACCCACTGGCTTCATGTGGAGCAGTGGGGAATCAAACCTGGTTCTCCATATTAGAGTCCTGCTGCTCTTAACCACTACACCAAACTGGCTCCATGGCTCCCGCCAACATTTTTCCTGGCACCAGCTCAAGTGTTTTTAGAAAATGGGTGGAGCCAAGTGGGGTTTGGCCTAGCAGGGCTTCTCATCGACTGTCAGAACATTGATTGGCTATGCAGGTGTTTGAAAACCTTGCTTTGGCAGCAGCTGCCACCACAGCACAAGGATCTTCACCGCCTGGAGGTGAAGCTGCGGCAGCCATTTTGTGACCGGTTCTGCCTGCCGCAACAGCCATTATGTGGTTGCACCGGCCACGTGATATCCGAAATCCAGTGGTTCCCAAAAGCTCAGAAAGGCTGGGGACCCCTGTTGTAGAGGGAGTTGAGCTGTGGTGTAATAGATCAGCTCTCAGGAGTTGACTTTTATTACTGTTATTAGTTTATTATTAAGTTTTTTCCTGCACTGATTGTCTTGTTGCCTTAGAACAGATATGGGGAATAGGGCTGCCAGGTCCGCCAAGGGGGTGGAGGATTACCTGCCCAAAGGACCCCCCAACCCCGCTGGTCCGGATCAGGCTGGCGGGGGGAACACCGCCCCCAAATACTTGGTTCAGGCCAACGTGCCCAGCGCGACGATGTCACCCGGAAGTGATGTCATCACATTGGGCGCGTTGCTGACCGACGCTCTAGCAATCAACCTGGAAACTCTACGGTGCCATACAATTTCCCGTGTAGGAACCAATTCTCCCCTGCTGTGCCAAGTAAGTGACTTGGCAACTCTAATGGGGAAGGAGATTGTAAGCTGCTCTGAGACTCTGAGTGAAGGGTGGGGTATAGATTCAACTCCTCCTCCTCCTCTTTTCCACTGTTCCGCAGTCCCCGGCCAATCGCATTATTTTGGCTTAATAGGAAGTTGTTGTGTTAAATTCAAATATTATCCTGCCTTGTAATCCACTTCCTGATGGGACTGAAAGTTTTTTTATTGTCATAATTGTCATCCATCTTGAGCCCCAGTGATGACGGTAGTCTAATAATAATAATAATAATAATAATAATAATAATAAAATAATAATAATTAACAATAATACATTGCCTCTTGGTGGCATTATAGTTGGTGAAGGTTGGGAAAGCACAAATTGCATTGCAAAGAGGGAAACCCATTTTAGGGTAGGTAGGTAGGTAGGTATCATTTTATTGTATATGGCCATAAGCCTTCACAATATCAAAACACTCTCAGAAAATATATAGATTAACATATAATAGAATGTTTCAACTTTGATTAATAATAACAACAACAACAACTTTTGATTTATTAATCGCTTTCCCCACAAGTGGGCTCAAAGTGATTTACAGTTACACTTTTAGACAAGGGACTAACAATGTTTTAATATGGGATTGGAAAGACAACATATAATGCGTTTTAATTGCACACACCGTAACTGCACGGTGGAAACGTCTCTGGCTTTGGATCAGTCATGTCCCGAACGGCTGCGTCGACCGGTTTGATGACATTGGGGCTTCAGGACTCATATGTCGTATCGCCACACTGCCACTGCCTGGCCGGAGCATCCCACTGCAGGGATTTTTTTTGTAGCCAAGTAGAGTCTTCTGCCTTCTGGTCCCGGAGCAGGACATCTCAACCGACAGCTAACACCTTCCCAGAGGGGAGTTGGTGTGCCCACCCTCTCTAAGGAGTGGTTCCCATTTTATCTACTCGCTGAGGCTTTCAAATTGCTGGGTGGACGATGAGCTAGGGACAACAGGCTGGCTGCTCACACTAGCGCGGGACTCGAACTGACACAGTTCGAATGTTAAGCAGTGGGATATACCCACTGTGCCACCACTCCCTAAAACGTATAAAACACCTGTTAAAATTATCTCGCCCTCTGGTCTTTAAAACCGATGAGACCTTTTAAAATCACTCACTCAGTTGCAATGGTACTATTTGGTTCCTTTGCTCTAATTTTTCTCGCGGCCATGGCAAAGAGAGCCAATCTTGAAGAAATGAAGGGGTCCTCCTCTGAGAGCAAAAAGGCCATCTTTTCATAATCAGACAGGGGTTATAGGGCTATCAGTGTCTTTGCTAAAAATTTGGCCCTGGGTTCTACGTATAAGGGACAGGCCAGAATGTAGTGGGGAAGGTTCTGTCAAGCAGCGGATTCTGAAACGCAGCGGCGCAGAAGTCCTAGAGTGCACCTGGAAGTTCCTTGTGGTTTGCGAGAGTCTCTGAATGAAACCTCGTGTGCAGAAGAAACTTTTGTGGTCTGTCGCATTCGAAGCGTGTGGCATTTTGGAGTCACTCCGACTTGCTGTTTGAGTGTGCCGGTTTCTCGTTCTGATGAATCAGCTGGAGTTTTGTGTTTTTTTCAGTAATTGCCTTCCCTGCATTGTAGTGCCTTCCCCCCTCCCCTGCTTTAAGGAAGAGCCTATTTTATGGCTCCACATCAGTGAACTAGGTAGTATAGTAATATAGAAAACGCAACCAGTTCTCTTAACAGTTGAAACAGAGCATGCCGGCAGGTCTGTGACCAGCATTCTTATTCCATCTGATTACAGGTGGAGAGAGCCCCTAATTCTGATTTAGATTAGCGTGGGTGAAGAAAGGTTAAACTCTTCATCCCTGCATGGTTTCATTAATGGAAACTGCTCCATCCCCCCTCCTGTTATGGTTCTTTAAGGAAAACACTGGCAAATAGGGTACCCGTCTAAAGAAAAATAAGTGGGGTGGGGAGCCCAAGACGCCCACCTGCTATGGGTGTTTTTTGCATAGGCGGATCCATGCTGCCAGTTTGGTGTAGTGGTTAAGTGCGCGGACTCTAATCTAGGAGAACCGGGTTTGATTCCCCACTCCTCCACTCACAGCTGCTGGATGACTTCGGGCAAGCCATGGTTCTGTCAGAGGTGTTCTTGAAAACAGTAGTTTCTGTCAGCTCTCTCAGCCCCACCTACTTCACAGGGTGTCTGTTGTGGGGAGGGGAAGGGAAAGGTGACTGTGAGCCGCTCTGAGACTCCGAGTGAAGGGACGGGTATAAATCCAATCTCCTCTTCTTCTTCTTCTTCTCCTTCTCCTTCTCTGCTGTTTATACTTCAGGCTGCTTTTAGCTGTGGTCTCCAAAACGGCCTAGCACAAGACTGAAGTTATGCTGGTGTTCATCACTTCAGTTCAGAAAAGACACAAGTAAAGGGAGATGTGATAAAAGTTGGCAGAATTAGAGATGTAAAATTTCCGGAAATGTTGAAATTCGGAAAAAAACCCACTTTTTTTCTGGGGAAAAACGGAAATTTTCAGAAAAATTGAAAAAAATGCTACATTAGCACTTTTTTTTTCTTTTCCACATTGAAAGTCATTCTGTTACTTTAGGAACATAAAACACGACTATGGACATTTTTACTTGGCTTGAAATTATCACAACTAGCATATTAAAAAATATAGTGTATCCACAATTATTACAAACAGAATACCCACCCACATGCAGAAACAAAACTGAACCCTTTTTCTTTTCTTGTGACAATCGCACCTCCTAAAGGAAGAAATGCATCTTGTTCTTGCATTGGAGAGTTCAGTTTGTAGCCTAGCGCACAGAAATTAGATCAATCTGATACCATACATATTTTTTAGAAATGATTTGGAAAATATTTGAACACCTTGTCTTAAAATATTTTATTCATCATGTTAAAATAAAATGTTCCATAATCAATTTTTTTCTTTTCTTTTTTCAATTTTTCCAATTTTTCGGAAAAAAACAAAAAAGGCTTCAGGAAAAAAATGGGGGGAAATGTTTTTTTTCCGGGCCTTCACATCTCTAGGCAGAATTATGCACAGGATGGAGAGAGTTGACAAAGAGAACTTTTTCTCCCTTTCCCAAAATACTATCCCTCGAGGCCCTCCAATAAAGCTGGTGGACAGTAGATTCGGGACACATAAAAAGGAAATACTTTATACAGGAAGTGATTAAAAAAATAGAATTGGCTGCCAGAGGATGCCGTGATGGCCACAGGCACATAGATGGCTTTAAAAGAGGATTAGGTAGATTCATGGGGGAGAGATCTGTCAGTGGCTACTAGCCATGGCGACTAAAGTGAACCTCCACATTCAGAGGCAGTCAGCCTCTGAATCCCAGTGCCAGGAGGCAACATCAGGGGAAGGCCTCAGTCCCTATGCCCTGTTGTTGGACCTCCAGAGGCACTGATTGGCCACCGCATGAGACAGAATGCTGGACTAGATGGACCCTCACTGGCCTGATCCAGCAGGGCTCTTCTGATGTTATTAAGAAGGCCTTGGCCTCTCTGCCCTGTTGTTGGCCCTCCGGAGGAACTGGCTGGCCACTGTATGATACAGGAGGCTGGACTAGATGGACCCCCACTGGTCTGATCCAGCCAGGGCTCTTCTTATGTTCTTATCAGGGGAAGCCCTCGGCCTCTCTGCCCTGTTGTTGGCCATCCAGAGGAACTGATTGGCCACTGTGTGAGACAGGATGCTGGACTAGATGGACCCTCACTGGTCTGATCCAGCCAGGGCTCTTCTGATGCATGGGAAAGAGCAGGTAGAGAAAGAGGTACTTTTCTCCCTTTCTCACAATACAAGAACTCGTGGGCACTCCATGAAATTGCTGAGCGGTTGGGTTAGAACGGATAAAAGGAAGTACTTCTTCACCCAAAGAGTGATTAACACATGGAATTCACTGCCACAGGAAGTGGTGGCGGCTACAAGCATGGACGGCTTCAAAAGGGAATTAGATAAGCATATGGAGCAGAGGTCCATCAGTGATCTCTTATGTTCTTATGATGTCCTTGTGAGGGGGGATTGTTGGGTGGATCCCTACATACTCTCCCTGTCTCCTCCACGCAGGCACTGTTCGTATTCTGTGGGCTCATCACAGGCTGCTACTGCTGCTGCTGCCTCTGCTGTTGCTGTAACTGCTGCTGTGGAAAGTGTAAACCGAAACCCCCCGAAGGTGAAGAACAGGAATATTACGTCTCCCCTGAAGACTTGGAGGCACAGCTACAGTCGGATGAAAGGGGTAAGTCTTGGTTTGTCTCCTGGCCAGCTACGGGCGAAATCTCTAAAGGTCATGGGTGAGTGTGGAAAGGGGGTGCAGAGGGACTTCCTGGAGCTGAAGCTACCAGGTGCCATGAGGTGACTCACTCTCCCCCCCCTCCCCCCCAAGCTTTGTGCAAATACAAACAATTTAGAAGTTGCTTCCTGGGATGAACTGGGGTCGGGATTCACCACTCTGCAGTCGGAAATCCTTCCGCCCGCAGAAGTGGATCTGAGCCTTGGTGTTTTCCTACATGGCCGTGTAACCTCAGCTTGTGGGTTCTGTGGGGCCAGAACTTGGAATAAATCTTGCAGTGATTCAGAAACAATAGAACATTTTTACTTTTCGTTTAATGTCATGTAACAAAAACACCCAAAGAGTGATTAACACTTGGAATTCACTGCCACAGGAAGTGGTGGCGGCTACAAGCATGGACGGCTTCAAAAGGGAATTAGATAAGCATATGGAGCAGAGGTCCATCAGTGGCTATTAGCCACAAGGTATAGATAGGGGCTCTGGGGCAAGTGATGCTCTGCCATCTTGGTGCTTGGGGGGGGGGGTCAACAGTGGGAGGGCTTCTAGTGTCCTGGCCCCACTGCTGGACCTCCTGATGGCCCCTGGTATTTTTGGCCACTGTGTGTCACAGAGTGTTGGACTGGATGGGCCTTTGGCCTGATCCAACATTGGCATCTCTTATGTTATTATGTTCTTAAAAACATAGAACTTAGTAACACAACAGAACAGGGGTCTTTTAAAGTCCAAACCATTAACTTCTCCCTTCTTCACAGCCTGTCATCAAAAACTGAGGATATGCGATTAAAGTAGTATTATTTTGTTTTGTGAACTGAAACTGATAAGAGGAACAGAGCTGAGTAGCCATGGTGACTAAAGGGCACCTCCCTGTTCAGAGCCTCTGAATCTGAGTACCAGGAAGCAAAATCAGGAGAAGGCCTCGTCCTCTATGCCCTGTTGTTGGCCCTCCAGAGGAACTGGTTGGCCACTGTGTCAGAGAGGATGCTGCACTAGATGGACCCCTGGTCTGATCCGGCAGGGCTCTTCCTATGTTCTTATGTTCTTAACCTGGTTCTACCAGATCCGACACTAACCAGTTCAGCCCTTGAAATCTCCAGTTCAATAATTTCCTGTAAGAAGTGCTGGGAAAAGACACGTCTTTGCCCAAGACTTTGGGGGAAACGACTCCCCTTGTGGGTAGATAATACTGAACTAGATGAAGGAACTGGCTGGCCACCATGTGACACAGGAGGCTGGACTAGATGGACTACTCGTCTGATCCAGCAGGGCTGTTCTGATGTTCTTATGAAGGCCTCAGCCTCTGTGCCCTGTTGCTGGCCCTCAGAGGAACTGGCTGGCCACTGTGTGATGCTGGACTAGATGGACTACTTGTCTGATCCAGCAGGGCTCTTCTAATGTTCTCCTGAAGGCCTCAGTCTCTATGCCTTATTATTGGCCCTCCAGGGCAACTGGTTGGCTGCTGTGTGAGACAGGATGTTGGACTAGATGGACCACTGGTCTGATCCAGCAGGGCTCTTCTGATGTTCTTCTGAAGGCCTCGGCCTCTATGCCCTGTTGTTGGCCCTCCAGAGGAACTAGCTGGCCACTGTGTCAGACAGGATGGTGGACTAGATGGACTACTGGTCTGATCCAGGAGGGCCCTTCTGATGTTCTTCTGAAGGCCTCGGCATATATGTCCTGTTGTTGGCCCCCCAGAGGAGCTGGTTGGCCACTGCCTGAGACAGGACGCCTGACTAGATGGACCACTGGTCTGATCCGGCAGGCTCTTCTTATGTTCTTGGAGCTAGCAGTTGTAACTTGGCCTTGCAGTTAAATTCACAAAAGTTATGGGCCTATAAAGCAGGATACTGCCAAGCACTGCTGCTAGGGTTCCCAAACTCCAGGTAGGGCCTGGGGATCTTCTTGAATTACAGCTAATCTCCAGAGCATAGAGATCAATTTCCCTGGAGAAAATGGCTGGCTTGGGGAGTCGACTCTGTGACATTATACCCCACTGGGATCCCTCCTCTCCCCACATCCTGTTCTCTTCAGACTTCACCCCCCCCCCCAATCTCCAAGAATTTCCATACCTGGAGCTGGAAACCCTAGTAGCTGCCCACAGATAGTTATGCTGGTTGTTTTTTGTTTAGAAGAAACAACCACTTCGGGAGGCACATCCCTTCCTAATCACTTAGCAGAACAAGATTCGAGTCCAGTGGCTCCTTTGCTGACCTAAGACTCACAGTCCCCAAGAAGAGAAGCTTCACGGGGAGATTGCAACGTGACTGTGCCGAACTTGAGTTCACGCACAAATTACCGCACTACAGATGCTGGTTTGCTGCTCCTAAGCGTTCCTCCCCTGCTCTAACCGAGGCAGTTACCTTTTGCATTGTACCTCTGCGTCCTGACTCCCTTCTCTGCAACACCCCTCCCGGGGTGTGTGTGTGTCTCCATTCCTACTTGTATCAGATGAAGGGAGCGCTGACTCTCAAAGGGCGATTTCGCACCAGAGCTGCCTCGCGGTGCAGCTGCTGTTTGCCCCGACACAAACATGTCAGTTTCACACCCGAAGCTGTGGGACTGCATTTTGACTCGCGGCTTCGTCCGATTTCCTCCGCAGTTTCGTGATCCTGGTTTTTGAGGATCATGAAACTGCGGAGGAAATCAGGCGAAGCCGCGGATCAAATGCAGCCCCGCAGCCTCGGGTGTGAAATTGACAAATAGTGTCGGGACAGACGGCGGCTGCACCGCGAGGCAGCTCTAGTGCGAAATCGCCCAAAAGCTCGTACCCTACAAATCCCATTGGTGCTAATGGACTCGAAACTACTTCTTCTCCTTCTCCTCCTCCCTGACACAGCTACCCAGGTGAAACTATAACCTCTTAGAAGCAGTTCTGACCTGGTGCTTTTATTGGGCCTGGTCTTAGCACTCTCATCGCTTGTTAACAATACGCTGGGTTCCACAGATCGGTTCCGAAGGTCCCTTTGCGGCTGGAGAAAACGGCTGCCGCCAGCGGAAGGGGACCCGCAAGATCCGACCTGCCGCGTTCTCTCTCACAAAGACGCTCTTTGTTTTTCAGAGGCCGCCGACACGCCTATCGTGATACAGCCAGCGTCTGCGACAGAGACGACCCAGCTCACAGCGGACTCCCACCCCAAGTACCACACCGACGGGTTTAACTAAACGAAAGGAAGCACTGTTAACTTTAAAAAAAAGAAAAGAAAGAAAGATAAAACATAAATAATATGGCCAACCCAGCACTTAGAATCATGGACATTAGAAATAGAGTACAGGGAGGGGAAAAGGTTCTGCCACAATAAAGAAGGCAGCCTCCAAACCTGCCGAGAATATTTTGTAATCCCTTCTTCGCCTTTTGTCACCTTTGGTGTCGTATCTCGATGATACATGGAAGTACTGTAGCATGCAGTATTTAAAAGCAGTTTAGCATTTGGTCTTATTTCGTTCTCCTTCTCTCCTTCCTCCTCCTCCTCCTCCTCCTCCTTCTACTTCTTTTTTTTTAAAAAAAATAGCATGCGTGGAGTTTACGTTATAAATGTCTTTGTGTTGTAATGTATCGAGGAGTTATCACGGCGAGTGTGACGGAGACATTTCTGCATTCTAAGCAGTGGCACCAGCCCAAAATGAGTCTAAAGAAACAAGCATTTTTCAAAGAGAAGTGAAAAGCCTGCCGTAGAAGCCGCCTTTCTCCCACGCAGTCGAGCTCCAAGTGTCTCTCTGAAGGGTGCGTTTTGTCCTCTCGGTTAGCTGCTAAGATTTCCAGCCGCTTTCCATTTGCCAGTTCGCTGCCAACACCTCTGTCTCAACCGGCTTACTTTGAAAAATGCTGACGTCGCGAGGAAGGGTTTGTTTTTTAAAAAAATCCTCGGTTTTGGAGCCCTTCCCTCGCACGCCCGTTTCTTCTTCAGACAATACTCCAACAGCTACTTTCTAGTTACACATTCTTGCGTAGGAGAGGGCCAAATTGTGGGTTTCGTGGCAAAGCCAGACGTTACTTGAATTATAGCTCTGCTTTTTAAAACAAGTGCGCACTATATTACATATATATATATATTTTTGTTCAAATTCAATCATTCCCCTGCACTATTTATAATTGCCATTTTTTACTTGTGCATGAACGTGGACAGAACTGACGCCGATGTATGTTCTCATTGTCTAGTTTGAATGAAGTCCAAGCAAATAAATAGTCAAGAGCAAATGTTTAGATTTCTGTTTGTTTGAATATTCCAGGATATATCCTATTCGCTGTGGTCACAAGCAGCTCTTTTGGGGGTTTAACAAAAGCCTAAGGGCTGCTCTACGCACTGTGCTGCCTCCTGTGGATCTCTTCCACTAACAGTGGTGGCTTCCTCTAGTGTAAATAGGCCTCTGACACAAGCAGCCTCTTATGCCAGGGGATATTGCTTCTATTCGCTGAACAGATCCGCAAGATCCAGCCCTATATATGTTAGGATTTAAAAAACAAAGCCCTAAAGTGTGAATGCAACAAATGTGGGCTTTTCTGCATTCTCGCGTTCCTCACTTGCATATTCCTGTTGTTTTGGGGTCCCCCCCCCATTCCGCATGTATTTTGCTCCCCCTCGTAGTTGATTTGATATTACATCGCTTTGTGTCCCGCATATCTCCCTGCAGATGTAAACTGCGGGTTTGTACACCCGACATAAAGCAGTGTAATATCAAATAGACCACTAGAGGGAGCAAAGCACGTGCGGAATGGGGGGGGGAACCTGAGGCAACAGGAACACACAAGCAAGGAAAGTCGGTATGCGGGGAAAGCCCTGTGTTTGATGGGCGTGCTATTCTGGAAACCCGGACTGTCTGCAGATCTCTGTGGCTAATCTCTGTGGCCAGCCTGGGTTTGCTGCCTCGTACTGTGGGAAGCGCCCATAACCTCATTGTGTCTCAGCAGAGAGGCCCGGACTGGGGAAAAAAACCCCAAATCTCTTGGTAGATTCACGTGGCTGCCTAGAAGCAGCTCGATCGCTCTCCGCTCCTGCTCCCCTTCTGCAGCATTCATACTCGACTCAACAGCATGCGGTACTTTACTCATCCGAAGCACCGCTATGACTGAACTAATTAGGCTCGAAAGCGTAACCACTTCAGTGTCCTCGTCTGCGTCTGGTGTAACGCTTTGCACGCATCCTTCTCCTTTAAGCGTGTCCCCTCCCCTTTTAAGTAAATCGCAATTTGCAACCAATCTGGAACGGTTACCTTCTGTGTGGTGGTGGGGAAATGATCATGAATGGAGGTGGTGTGGATGAGTGAGTGTGAATGCGACAGGCACAGCGTTTTTTCCTTGGAGACATCCGCAACATTTACTCTCTGCGTCTGTTCTGCCGTTCGTTCAGTCTCGTGCTAAGACTTTAAGTCTTGTGGAAGAGCCAAGGACGCGCTCAGAATCGTTGCTTCTGCAGTCTTCCACCCCTTGGTCTCTTAGTAACCCTTGCTCTGGTTTGGTAGTAGCTGATTTCTGCTTTCCCCCCACATTCCCTTTGAGGTCATTCTGTGTGGAACCGTTCCCAGAATTGCCAAAACGTTACTTCTTTGAGTAAGGCTAATATCTTTCCCGCAGTGGATGCGGAAGGAACATGGGGACCAAAACTGTCTTTTGGAAGCATACCAAGAGTTCACATTCTCCCCCCACCACCACCTACCCCCCTCCCAACCCCCAAGCAAAGCTGAGATTCAAATCCAGAATTACTGTATCTTTGACTGGAGACGGGTCATAGCCTGAAAGAGCTGAAGGCAGGTTGAGAGCAATTTGACTTCCTGCGCAGTTTCACTTCCCACGGTGTGTACCCACTTCTGTAGTTCCACTGTCACATTGGCTCACATAACACATTTTAGATACTAAAAATGCAGCCTGATTATGAGGAATGGAAGCTGGATAGGTACACATGCCAAAAGCAGTGATCCTTGTATTTCAGATAGTCTTTGACCAATTTCCCAAAGCGCTGCTCCATGCTCGCTCTTCCCTTTTGCCCCGATGGTACGTGCCAATTTTACACAAGCTGCTGCGCGGCCTCATTTTGCCCCGGAGCTTCACGCTATTTCCCCCACGTCTACTCAATCCTCAAAAAACAGGGTTGAGTAGACGCGGGGGAAATCGCGCAAAGCTCCGGGGCAAAATGCAGCTGCGCAGCAGCTTGTGTGAAATTGACACGTACCATTGTGGCAAAAGGGAAGAGCGAGCGCTTGTGGGGAATCGACCTTTGTCTCTCTGCACAAACTCTCCCCCATTTCTAGCCTTGGTTCTATCTTCCACTGGGAACAGTAGACACCCCTTCTCTTTCTCGGTAACTAGCAAGAGCCAAGCTGAAGCTAGAGTTCATGCTTTTGGACGCTAGGTCTGACATTCCTTTTTTGTTTTTACAAAATGCTGTCGTGTTGCTAGAAGCCTCAGTATGGACTGCCTCGCGATCCTTTCCAATGTCAAAACCGAAGGGGTCGTGCCCCTGGACCTGTGTGTGCCCACGTGGTTATGTGATTACTATACATGATCCTGAAGAATCAGGATCATGGCCAAATTGTGTCTTTTGGGGACTGCTTTCATTCACGCATGATAACGCGCCCTCAGTGCACTTTTGGTATCATTTGCAGCTGGGTTTTCCTGCGCAGATCAAGAAAATCTCGTTGCAAAGGATTGCTAAGATGCATTGAAAGTGCATTATCCAACATGTGCAAAAGCAACCTGGGTTCAATCCAGCCTTCCAGGAACAGAAATGTATGTGCTCCAGAGCTCCTCCCCAACATTAATATGGTGGCTTCATTTGGAGCTAACAAGGATCGAGGGAGGGGCTTAAACTAGCCAATGAACTTTTTTGAAAGCCCCCGGATCCCCTCCTTCCATGCGGAATGCTCGTTTGTCAACGTCCGTGAAACTTTAAACCTATGCAAATGTGTTGCTAGCAGATTAAATGTGGGCTTTTGCTTTTCTTTGTGATTTTTCAGTAGCGGTCCAGTGTAGCGTACACGGTATGTTCAGGATGCTGGCTGTAGTGGCAATATTTAATCCTTGGTCGTGCTACCCAGAAGTGACTTCTGCTAGTCTAAGGGAATCCGTACAGCTTTAGCGTGTCAGAAATAAGTTTTGAGGGGCTTGCCATTTTGATTACCCCGGAGGTGGGATTTGGGGATAACCCCACCAAAATTATCCCCAAATAATTGGGGATAAATGAGGAACGCGTAGGCGATTTGTCTGGACCTCTGTGCCTCCCCTCACCCTGCCCTGTGCATCACATGAAATCACATAGACCCAAAGGGGCTTACATCTGGATGGCAGCGTCAGCCTGTGTTCTGCTTCGGCCACCGCAGTGGACCTAGCAAACCACTTCCACGAAAACAGAATGTGAAAGGAGCTGAGTGCAGCCATTTTCAGATTTCCAGCATGGATTTCCCTCTTTCCTCCTCTCTTGTCTCATGCTGAGAATCTCGGTCCGAAACAAGCGCCAGTTAGATGTGTGAACGCGGCCGTCTGCATTAAACTCTGGTGCAGAACCCTGGATGGGTGGGGCGAAGAGAAGTCAGTCCAGGGGTAACAACCCACATGCCTTCGTCTTTACGTTGCGCATGACCGAAATTCGTTTCCAAACGGGATTCCCAGAGCGAGGGGAACGCTAACAGCGAGACAGGTTTGTGCACATTGCTGGGTTAGTGCTGGTTCACGAATGCCTGCATGCCGCCACAGTGTCATTGCCAGTGAAAAGTTGCGTCGTCCTCGGAGGTAGTTGCTTGTAACCAGTAATCCCGTCTTATGTTTTCAGACAGCGCTAGCGCTCTTGCTGTCGGGATGGGGGAAGGAAATCACTTGGGAACCAGCCTTAACTTATATTCCATTCTGGGTGGGCTCCATGTCGCTGCCTCCACAGGGTGTTCTCAGCAGGGCTGGGCAGCGCTGAGGAATTTACGGTGGCTCTTTTAGGGATCCAAAAACCGGGAGTGGCAGAGATGCCCCCCCCCCGCTCCCGGCCAGCTTCCCGAATCCCTCTCTCACCTCCACATTCTCGATTCCCCACCTGCACAACCTCGTCACCTAACCTGAAGCTCCCCTAATTCCCACGGTGGTTCTTGACACTTTGCTAAAGGCGATCCACCTGGCTTTTAAACTGTACAGTGCAGGCCGGGCGGCCCATTTGAGTTCTGATGGTTGCGACGGCCTGTGTGCTCGTTTGTTTGTCATGTGTCTGTCAGCGTGCATTTCTGTGTGTGTCATTGATGTATGAACCCAGCGATTTGCCAAGCTGCGAAAACTTTTAGACGTCTGCGTTTTTTCCTTGCTGGGGTGTGCGCAGTCTTTGCGTGGGTTTGTGTGTGTGAGCGTCACATTATTTAGTTGCTGCTGTTCGGCTCATTCCTGCATCGTTTCTTCTCTTCCTGCTCCCCCCCCCCCACTGGGGACTGGGAGGGGGCAGAGCAGGTTTTTAAAAAAGTTTCATTGAGCGGCGATTTCTAAATTCAAGGCAGCCTCTTCTTGTATATTTGCAGGAAGTTGGGATGAACCGAGGCAAGGCTGGTCTTTGCTCCCGTTGCGCAGTAGCCTCGGTTTGTTTCTATGAAAGGGAGTTGCCGGTCCTGTTAAAATGAACCGAAGTTGGGATGAAGCAAAGCTAGGCCGGTCTATGCTCTTCTTGCTCA